AGCTGCTTGAGCCACAGGCGCCGAGCCCCAGCTATTTTTTTGTTGCAGTTTGGCTGGGCTCAGGTTTGAACCCACCACCCTCCGTATATGGGGGCTGGCACCCCACCTACTGAGCCACAGGCACCGCCCACTTTTCTTATCGAAACTATTATTCTCTCCCTAAAATGTTCTGGAATATTATCCCCAGGAGTATTTTGTTTGTAGAAAATTTCAATGTTTTGCTTTCCCATGCCCTCCTGAGGACCCTGTTTGCGTTTATCTCTGCCTCTGGCTTCCTATACCTCCACTATGAAGAACAATGATTTTAAAGAACATCGACCTGATTCATAGATGTTCATGAGCTCCATTTGCAGTGATGGTTGGGTAACAGTTGGAAATTTAACAAGTAGAGGGAGCCAAGTGGCAAGTTGAATCTTGGGTACTGGACCAAATCCCATCATATGACTTATAGTAAGGACACTGACCAGTTTTATGACCTTGATAAAATTCATTCTTTCTCTGGGTTTTGTTTTTCCTCATCTCCATAAGAATGAGTTATACCAAATGAACTTTCAGCTTTCATCATCTTGATTATATTCTAAACTGTTTTCGTGGTGTTTTTCAAATAATTTCAGAGCTACCTTCCTTCACTCTACCAGGAAAATGTCAGACTTCATTCCTATGTGGCCATGTTTTTATGTTTCTTGATTTTTTTTTAACTTTTCATTTATGATTTAATAAATGCTCATAGGAAACCTTCACATAGTACAGACGTGGAAAAGGAAGATCTTCTCCCCCTGCCCCCCCCCACACTCAGTTTCTTCTCCCGAGGTACCTGCTGTTAACCAGTTTCAGGTATATCCTTCTGGAGAGATTGGCTGTACGGGCATAGTACACCTCACCTTCTCTAATTTCAAACGTAGCATGATTATAAATACAGCCTGCCCCTTGGACTTCCTCCTTCTGGACAATGTTTCTTAGAGACTGTTCCATATAACTACCTATAGAATGATCGCATTCTCTGGAATTGTTACATAGAGTTTCTATGAATGGATAGAGCATAGTCTATTGGGTGGCATTAAGATCTCATCCATTGGGTGGCATTAAGATCATCGTTAGTCTTGCTGTTATAGACAGTACTGTGGTGAATATCCATTGCACAAGCTGCTCTGCTTGTGTGTACTTTATTTTGAAAACAAGGTCACTAAGTGCCACTCTTTCCCAGACTCTACAGTTAATAACCAGAGATGTTCAGTCTGAACGGTCAAATTTAAATCAAGTGGGAGAAACCTACATCAAGTGGGAGAAACCTACATCTCCACTGTTGCTCCCTGCAAATATCTCTTGTTGGGGTTGACCTTTTAAAGACTCACAGGGTGTGGTTTGGAAAGAGCATTCCTCCAAGTCTTAAACTCCTCCAGATAAGGATTCAGATGTTAATAAAATCGGCTGAGCAGTATCTGGTTGGTTGCTGTGTGGAACTGGGTAACAGAATTCATTGCTGTGAGCAAACCAGTGCTGCATTTTGTACACTGATAAAAGCAGGTTACTCAAGACACTGACCATTGTCCTACTCAAAATTGTCATGTTAGTAAGCTGCCAGGCTTGAGGCAATTTAAAAAATTTTTCGAAGTAACTGTGTTATAAAAATTAACCTAGGATTAACATCCTGTGCTTTACAAGCTTTTTCCCCCTTAACCTGGGGATTTCTGATATTAGAAATATTGGGCATCTTTTTTTTTTGTCTATAGTAGTTACATCAGAAAATTAGGAGCATACTTTTTCAGAATGTTCAGGAATGGCTGTCTCTTAAAATAATTACCACTCTTCCATCTCTGCCTCCCTCCTCTGGCTTGAAATAGGTTTTATGAATTAAACCCCTTCTGGATGTCTGGATTTCATCTTCCTTGCATCTGTATTAAGAGAGCTTTTCCCCTGTGATGCCATGTGTGCAGTCCCTGATCTCACACCCGGCCTTCAAGTAGAGGTTGTGATCATGCTCTAACAAGCTCTAGAAGTGAAATACTCATTTCAGTTATTCTGGCATCAGTCAGGACTATGCTTTCCCCCCCTTCTTTGTATTCTCAAACTAAGAGGGTAAGAAATGCCCTGCTGGTTTTATTCAAATTGTTTACTGAGCCCTCCCTGTGTGTCAGGTGGGGGCCAGGAGGTGAGAGGCCTTTGTGGTGGGCTTGAAAGGGAAACTTAGACTGTTTGGGGGACACACTCTGAATATTCTTCCCTTCTAGTAGTATGTTCCTTCTCCGTTAGTAGCATGTTACAGAACAGAGCGTGGCCAATCTTCCCAAACCCTCTTTGAACCTTCCTGTGGGTAACTTGAGCAACCTTTGGGCCCAGGTGTCTGTTCTGCTGACTTGTTGCATAAGTGGTACTTCCCTGCGGTGGATCGAGGGCAGACCGTGGTGAGCAGTTGCTCTCACTTTGTGCTGCAGAAATTTTTAAAGATCATTAATTAAATTATTTTTGAAAGAAGTTCAAAACCAAGTATGTTCTTTTTTTTTTGATCAACATGATTTAAGCGTGTCATGGAAGTTTAACTATAGGTTCAAGTGGGCCATGAGATAAAAAGGTTGAAAACCACTGGTGTAAGGTGTGGCAGAAGGGAGTTGAGGACAGTTTTAAAGAGCAGGTGGATGGGCCCTGGCTCTGCTTGCTACTAACCGGGGCACATCTCTTAGCCTTTCTGGGTTACAATGGTTATAATGCCTCCTCTGTAAAAATAAAGGGTGCACTAGGTGATCCCCCTAATTCCTTATATAGCCTATCAGTCTCATGTTCCATAAGCCACACTTAAAAATCCATGTCGTTTCTTCAAATAGCCCTTCCACCAGCCTGTTAGCTTCTATGAAGGCAGGATCTAGCTTCAAGCCCAGGGCCTGGCACAAAGAGGGAATGCCATAAAGGTCTGAGTGAGTGGACGTATTAAAAAGTGAACATTTTTATGCCATCCTCGCCTCCTTTCTGGGGAATTCTCTGCCAGGAATTCTTCCTCAAAGAAACATCCTTTTATAGGACATCTTCATGTTGGTTCTGCCTTTTGAACACACACAGAATCATGTAGTTTAATGAATAGATTATTGGGCCACTTTAAAATTCATTTAACATAATTTAGTTATAAAATGTATCCGCAGAAGACTGAAGATTGAAAACATGTGAGTTTTGGACTTTCATTAAAATATGTCAAGGTTTATGCCATTTAAGTTAGTGAGACCAAATAAAGCAAAACTGAGGGGTTTTTCCCTCAGAAATGAACTGAGCATATACAATTATACTTTGTTGTCTTTAGCCCTGACCTAGGAGCAAATAGACTGAAGTATGGTTTTCTTTATTATCTGATATTGCCTAGGCAGAAGTTAAGCAAACTTGATTAGTAAACTGTTTTGAGAAAAACTTTTTAAAATAAATTTTTGTGGGAATACTAATTATAAAATTTATTGAAGGTTTTTTAAATTCTTTCCAAAGTGGAGTTCTACATGCTGAAATTTCAATTGCTGGTAAATGCAAATAAACACAGAATTCTTTAAAACTTTTTAAAGATTTCTGGTGCCTTTATCCAGTCACAGGTATTTAGCATTTTTATGTAATTTCTTCCTTACTAATTTTTCCCATTGCAAAAAACCCATTTTTTCAATCAGATATTTATTCTTGAGTTTAGGAATAAACTTTATTTTATTTTATTTTTTTTTTTTTGAGACAGTCTCCCTCTGTCACCCTGGGTATAGTGCCGTGACATCATAGCTCACAGCAGCCTCAAACCTCCTGGGGTTGAGCAGTCCTCTTGCTCAGCCCCTCAGGTAGCTGGGCAGAGTGTCGCTCTTGCTTAGGCTGGTCTTGAACTCCTAAGCTCAGGCAATCCACCCACTTTGGTCTCTCAGAGTGCTAGGATTATAGGCATGAGCCACTGTGCTGGGCCAGGAATAAACTTTGTTTTAAAACAAAGCATTGGCCAGGCACGGTGGCTCACACCTGTAATCCTAACACTCTGGGAGGTCCCGAAGGGTGGATTGCTTGAGCTCCAAGTTCCAGACCAGCCTGAGCAAAAGCAACACCCCGTCTCCATTTAAAAAAAAAAAAGAAAAGAAAAGAAAAAGAAAAATTGAGGCAAGAGGATCACTTGAACCCAAGAGTTGGAGGTTGCTGTGATCTGTGGTACAACAGCACTCTACTCACACACAGCTTGAGACTCTATCTTAAAAAAAAACAAAAACAAAAAGACAAAGCTTTAATAGGGTCTTGCTTTTGCTTTTGTATAGGTTCCTGATCTAGGTGCTGTGTTTTACATGTTACTTATCAGTTTGCTCATTCGTCCTAAATATTATTGCATGCCCACTGTGTATCGATGATCATACGCTTTCCTTAGCTCTGCCATAAACATACAAATTATCTAAGAAAGTCCACACACATACACATACCTAGATGTCCTATTGAAATTATCTCACAAGTTGCGATAACCTTTGCAGGATTTACTTTTGACCACTGTGTTCTACAATAAAATGTACTCTAGACACAGGGAAGAAATGAAATAAAGATTTTTAACAGAGCACAAAAGCTGAGACTAGGTGAGTCAGGAGTGGGGCCAGTCTCTGAGCCTCCATGAATTGAATTAAGGTAATAATTATTTGAATAGTAATGATTAACAGGAAAGTACTTTGGAAGAATCTCAAGAATCTATACTCCAAAGCACAAAGCATTCTGATGGTCACTTTTGATAGACAGTATTGTTGGCCATGGTCATTAATCTTCCTGTATTTTCTCTTTTTCCATAGTGATGAATCACCAACACCAGCAGCAGATGGCACCCAGTTCCCTTAGCCAGCAGAACCACCCTACTCAGAACCCACCCGCAGGGCTCATGAGTATGCCCAATGCACTGACCTCTCAGCAGCAGCAGCAGCAGAAACTGCGTCTTCAGAGGATCCAGATGGAGAGAGAGAGGATTAGAATGCGTCAAGAGGAGCTCATGAGGCAGGTATGGCCTTCCAGGATGCTTGGTGGAGGCTCCTTGGCCTTTGGTGCCAAGGCTGATGGTAGGTAGTTGCTTGCCTTCGAGGTTCATCTCCTTTTCTAGAAGCACTAGAGGCTCAAAGCCCTACTCCAGGCTTCATATTATAGTTTCTTCTCCCAACATTGTGCCTACACTGTCGTCGGAACCAAACTTATGAATATAAGGACTAGTAATGACAGATATACTCAAATAGCATGGCTTCTTTTGGCTTCTGCTGGTCTTTAGAAGGAGAGAAAATAGAGAGAAAGGTCATGTTCTAATTACCTATTGCTGTGTAACAAATCTCTCAAAAACTTAGTGGCTGGCTTAAAGCAATAGCTATTTCTTCATATCAAACAATTCTGTGAGTCAGAATTTGGAAAGGGCTCAGCTGGGCTGTTCTTCTGCTCTACCTGGCATTGATGGAGGTGACTTAGTGATAGTCCTCAGGTAGGTGGGCAGGTCTGGAGAGTACAAGATGGATTGCTGAAGGCTAGGCTGGACTTAAAGCCTGGACCATCTGCAGGTGGTATCTATGGTGTGGCAGTCTCGAAGTGATAGTATTTATTACATGGCAGCGTAAGTTTCCAGGAGAAAAATATTCCGAGAGACTGGAAGTGGATGGTGCCAATGCCTTAGGGCCTAGCTCTGGAAACTGCCATGGAGTCACTTTTGCCATATTTTTCTGGTCCAAGCAGTTATAGAGCAGCCCCCAGATTAAAGAAGGGAATAGGAGGGATACTCAATGGAAGAAATCACAAAGAATCTGCTGCCATGTCTTGTCCACTATAGAGCATGGAAAAGAGGAGTAATTGAGGGAAGAATGAGGAAGCAGAGTGATGTGTACATGGACTCTGTTGGGGTGCTCTGCTCTTTTGTGCCATACTCCATTCATTCATTTTTTTATCGAGTCAGTTGGTAGAATGTTGCTGTGTGTCTCATTGCCTGTGGGTCAGGCTCAGTGGTATACCTCAAAAATGAGTAAGCGAGAATCCCTGAAGGAGCCCACAGATTTCTTCCTGTTTCAGTGGCTTGGTCTATGGAAGAGCAGAATTCTTCTGTGTTCCTAAACTAATGTAACCCATTTCTGCCACATTTGGGGGGAGAAAAGCTTCAGTTTATTATTGTTCTAATTTTTCAGCCTTTGCCTTATGACTCACATACAGCAGGACACATGAATTAGCTTCCTCTTGATCCTTTAAAGAAATAAATAGTTTTAACTGTTCCGGAGAACTTTCTTGGAGGAGAGGATTGGGAGTGTTAGGATAAACACTATTTTTTTTTTTTTAGTTATATCTGATGCTTTTAAAAATATACATTGACTTGCACAAGTGAATAATGTATTGCTTATCAAATGAATTCTGAGAGATAAGGTACATGGTAAATTAAAATAACTTCTTAGATATAGCCTTTGAAAATAAAGGAAATGAATGTAAATTGTGCTTTGTTGTTCAGCTGAACGTTCTTCCAGATTTGAGGAACATAACTTTATAAGGTAACTACAGTTGTCCCTTTACCTTGAGGTTTTATGTTTGAACTCTCATGGTCATTTCAGACTCGCAGTTGTTTTTACTGTTTTTAGAAATGTAGTGTCATGTTTCTTGGCAGGAAATAACTTGCATTATTGTTTTCTGTCTTTGAATAATGATTCTGTTTTAAAAAATTTTTCTATTTTATAGTAATAGCATTAAAGTAGCGTTTATATGTTCATTCAGTTTTATGTTAAAATAAGATGTAATGAGTCTTTTTTTCACACAAAGCTGTGACTGTTCTGCAAAGAATGACTCGTTTCTCTGCCTCTGGGTTTCTCTTTCTCTCGCCCCTCCTCCTCCTTTCCCACAGAAAGTATTTCTGAAAAGGGGTGGGGAAAAGTGCCCCAAATTGTTTCCTTTATTCCAGCTGTAGGTGCCTTTGAACCAGAATGTAATATTGATGGTTCATATTACAGAAATGCCAACCAAGTTCCTTAAATGCTGATCCTTAGAGGCCGTGGAACTTGGAGCATTTTGCTGCATCATAGTGAGCAACTGCAGAGTATATAACAGAGAGGGGAAGGGCTGTCCAGGTTTGCGCACGGAGGTTCACAAGTTCAGCCTTGACTCTGCTTGTGTGCGTGCATGCGTTCGTGTGTTGAGGGTGCGGATAGAGGGAGAGATGGAACGATGGAATGGACGGGTTGGATGTCTTTTTATTTTGTTATGGAGTACAGGAAAAAGGGTCTAAATAGACTTTTTAATCATGGCAGACTGTTTTCCCATCAGAAGCAGCATGCTGCCTCCGTTATGTCAGATGTATTATTTAAGACCACATAATAATAGTGTTCCATAATGGTCTTCTGGGGCAGTGCCGGGAAGCCTGATTGATTATTCAGGTGTGGATTATGTGAGTACTATCTTGGGGAGGTTTTTTGACTTCTTTCTTTCTGTGATTTTCTGCTTCACTGTTTGTACCTAAGCCAGGGCGGGGGCAGGGAAACGAACTGAGGGTAAAAATGATCCTTGACTCACCTGTTTAGTTGCCTTCTAGCCTCAGGAAGGAACTTGTAAGGATGGGGACATGGTGGTCCAGGTAAAGATTATCTGTAGACTTCCCTTTATTCCGTCTGTGCCTCCCGTGTCTGGGGTAGTTATCAACTGCCCGAATATCCCTTATTCACTGGGCATCTTATCATTACTCTGTCTCTCCCCTGGCTCACAGGAGGCCTTTCACTGTACCGCTTGTGTTCTCAAGGCTTGTGCCCTGTGGCCAGGCCTGGATCTACCTGCAGTTCTCTCAGGAGAATTTCTAGGATCAAGGCCCATGCCCGGCTCTCTGTCTATAGTAGGAAGGACAGTTGGCAAAATTTAACAAGTAGATGAACTTATCCCATCATTCTTGAGAAATTATCACTGCTCTGCATGTTTTTATCATTCTTGAATGTTGTGATGAGTATGAAAGGTCCTTATAGATTATATGCTATGTAAACATTCAGTTTTATTTCTTTTCCTCTTCCCTCAGTATTCCCCCAGGCATATACATTAATGAGACTCTTACCATGGAGAAAACAACTCAGTCCTCATTGCACAATCTGACATATCCTTCATGGGTCGTGTGTAGCTCCTTGGCACTGAAATCATGCCAGGATATTAACAAAATGGATCTGAGGAAAGTTGGATTACAAATCTAAAGTGAACCCTCATTTTTGTTATTTCAGGATAGAAATTCATACTTTTTTTCCTTCCTTCTTTCTTCCTTCCTCTCCTTTCTAAAGGAATTTGGTTGGTATTTCTGTAATGTGAGCCACCTCCTCATTCATTTATTCAATCCACTTTTATGTAATAGAAAATAACAGACAGATAAATGGAACATGGCTGCCCTCAGATAATTTATATTTTAGCAGAAGAGGCAAAATAATTACATCTAATTCAAAATGGTATCCAGAGGATAAATTAAAAACATTCCCTACTTGATGGGGGCCCAGTGGCTACCCTCTGACTTTCATTGCTGGAGTTGAGATCAGACACTCCAGAGCGGAGTTCTGTTGATGCTCCTTTATTTCTTTTCAGTGACCCCACAGGCCAACAAGCTGTTGAACAGCTGCAGAATTAAGATCAAAAGAGCCAGCAAGGTTTGGTATCTCCACTCATTAGGAATCTTCTGAAGTAGGAGAATTTCTTTAAATACCAGCCCATCCAATTTAGTACTGGCTACTATAGCAATAGAGTTGAGCTACTTATGTCCGATAATTGATGAATTATCTCAGAATGTACTGAGATATCTCAGAACTGTGTGCCACAAAGAGTGAATTTTACTGTATTATGTGTTTGTAAAAATAGTGATAATGAATTAATTACCACATAGAAAATACAAAACACACTTTGATGGTACAAAATGTGTAAAACGAAGAAAAGGAACTTAGGATCTCCCATATACTTACAGAGAGTAGCTATAAAGATGTTGATGACCAAGACTTTTCATTCTTTTTGTATGTGTCTGTGTGTCTACTTTATTTTTAAATACAGAATGGCTGCATATTTTAATGCTGTTTCGTTACTTCTTTTCCCTTAATATATGGGGAAGTCTTTTATTTATTCTGTATCAGCTGTGGGAAGTTGTATTGTGACCTTGTATATGCCCATTCTCAGTGCCTGAAACCCTCACTATAGCATATAGCAGGCTGCACACAGATTTCAGGTACCATGAGCTGCTATATAGTAGCCCTCTAGGACTATAGAATATTTTGTTACCATTTAAAAATTCAATGCAGTGTGTGCTTAAAGGGTACAATTGCAACTTCACCAAAAGAAATGGAAAAAAAATTTTCTTTTTTTTTGGCCGGGGCTGGGTTTGAACCCGCCACCTCCGGTGTATGGGGCTGGCACCCTACTCCTTTGAGCCACAGGCGCCGCCCAGAAATGGAAAATTTTAATCACCAGAAAGACATTGAGAAACAGGCTTTTCTGTGCCTGTTTACTCATCTAAAAGAACAATTCCTGGACATGAAACAGGCTTCTGGTTTTATCTGAAGAGAGCATGTCTTTTCATGGTGTTAATAAGCTTTGAGGCCTTTGAGAGTAACCTGGAGGACTTCCTGTTAACCCCAGAGCCTGGGAGACTCTTCAGTGGCTGAAGCTGCTCCCCTCACCCCTTCAGGGGGGCTGCCTTGTTGAGAAACCCTTATTGTTCTCGAGCATATTCAGCACTGTTTTTTTTTTTTTTTTTTAACCTCTATCCTTTTCTTAATGGAGGCTGGGGGGACAGGAGAATGCAGTTGTCAAACAAAAATGCTGACTCAGCCTGGCCTCCAGTTGCCAGGGCAACAGGGCCAAGACAAGGGGGAGGCTGCAGAATTCTTTTGGCAGGTCTCTCAGATTTCTGCTGGGCTTGAAGGCCACCACGAGGTTGGGCTGGCCTTGCACAGCCATTTTCCCTCACTGAGGCCTCCACAGAGGGGGACATGCCCAGCTGTGGGCAGTACTGGTGTAGAGGAAGGAAGAGTTTCAGGT